ATTCAATGACTTTCCATGTGTTGACTTAATTTTGAGGCTAAAAGACAGTCACTTGTCTTCCATATTTCTCTCATTTATGAAACACCAGTATTTAGAACCTATAGTTGTGCTATTATATAAGCAATCCTTAAGGATGTTCTATTGAGGAAAGTTAACCATATACAAACTAAAGATTTTTATATTCTTACTCATTTTAAATCATGTATTCTTAAAATTTTTGAAAATTTTTCCAATGTCATCTTTATCAATTTCAATGGGTAACAAATTATGTTACTGTTTTTGTCTAGAAAATAGTTTTTGATAGATAATAATTTTTGTGTAACATAATAGGAAATATATAGATATATTGAGACCTGTGTCATAATTTGTGGCAACAAGATGTAATTTTTCTTCTTGAGTTTCTTTGACGTCTTAAATCATAAATGAGACAATAACCACATTGTCTCATTTAAATCATGGAGGAAAATATCTCTGTTTGAACACAGAACTAACTTTATTTCGTACAGTTATATGAGCCTTCAAGATAGAAATTTTAAGAATGAGCCCGGTGCCGGTGGCTCACGCCTGTAATCCTAGCTACTCAGGAGGCTGAGATCTGAGGATCGCAGTTCAAAGCTAGCCCAGGCAGGAAAGTCCATGAGACTCTAATCTCCAACAAACCACTAGAAAACCAGAAGTGGCGCTGTGGCTCAAGCGGTAGAGCGCTCGCCTTGAACTGAAGAGCGCAGGGACAGCACCCAGGCCCAGAGTTCAAGCCCCATAACCGACCAAAAAAAAAAAAGAAATTTTAAGAATGAAAAAAAGCTAAAGTTTATTTAAAACTTTATAAATGATGCCCATCCCTACTTACAGGGCTAAACTTTTCAATACTGAAAAGTTCGTATTCAAAATATCATACAAATCAGTTTTGTTTTGTTAACATTTATACTATACAATATTATAATAATGTATAAATTATAATATAAGTTATAATAATGTATTGAAGTTTCCAGTTTTAAATAAAGATAGCTTGGGTTTTTTCTTCACATTGCTTAATTTTTGTTGCCAGAAAATGTAGATAGCATATTATTTTGGATATATAATGATATTAATAAAATGAATTAATGTGGCAATAATGCACTTTTCCTAATGGTATAGGGATATAATAATATAAGCTAGGAATGATTGTTAGCAAAAGCAAGTTGATTTTCGAAGGTTAGACAGGATTTGTTCACATCAGAATTCAAAAGTATATAATTATTCTAGGCATAGTTAATGAAACTCAAATGAAAAAGCTTAATCTAAATATGAGTATCTGGATTTTACATAAAGAAGAGAAAATGAACATGATACTTGCAATTACATTGATTTTTAATAACCATCTGAAATTTTTATTAAACTAAAGTAAAAGTCAGTCAGTAATATAATTTATTCATTATAGACCTGCATGTCTATGTCAAGAAGAGTGATGTAATTTTAAGGAATAGATAGTAAAGTAGACCTCTAAATTCTTACTCTATTTCAATTCAATTTTTGGTAGTCCCTTGCCTAGGAAAATTATGATGTATCTTTATGTGTCAAAACATTTATATGTGTATATATGTTACACAAATAAGAATAAGTATAATTTATAAGTTTCCCCAAAATAAGTTGACAGTTTCCCAATGATGTCAAAGAGTTTTTTTATTATTTCTATTTCTTGTGAAAATTCATAAACTCACCCCTTTCTTTTCTCTACTCAACTGATATATACTACTTAACTTCAGTTATCTGTGATGACTGGATACTATGTGTTGAGGTAATAAATGAGTAAAATATCTTCCCATAACTCAGTCTTCATAAATATGATGATGCAATAGTTTAACCTTTTTGTAGAGTTTAATGTATAAAACATGGCTGACCCAGTACTCACAGGTTATTGTAAACAGAGGCATTACAATGTTATAGATATTATAATGTCTTTTGTATTACAAAAGATTATGAGTTATTAGTACTTCAGGACAGCAAGAATTGTAATCTCTTTCTCATTTCACTCTAGTCATCTAATATGACTGTACCTCTGTTTTTGATTGCTCTTATTAATTGTAAAAGTTTTGATAAATTATGGTGTTCTTTTTCATGTCTGAGCATGGAATGAACTGGATGTTTGATGATTATCCATATATTTTCTTTATTTTTAAATTAAGCTTTTATTGTGAAAATACTGTACATAGGGGTTACAGTTACATGACCAAGGTAATGAGTACATTTCTTATCCAGCATTGTTGCCTCCTCCTTTGTTTTGCCCCTACCATCCCTTTCTTCCCACCCCCTCACCTACAGCCCCCCCCACCTAAATTGTAAAGTTCGTTTTTCAACATAGCGTCTTGTACATCTCATTGTTGCAGTGGGACAATCTGTATCCCTATTTAAACAATATGTTTTCCCTCCCCCCCAAATTATACCAACATCAAAAAGGCTTATCTCACAGTCTTAAAAATAGTCACAATATTCATATTAATAGAACTTTCCCTTCTTGTGGTGTAATGGCTGTTTCTCTGAAGGGTATAATAATAAGGCTAATAAGGGCTTCTAGTTTAAAGAAAATTGAGAAGAGATTTCTAGAACTAGATATAACACTTCAATTATTTGAAATGTTTTGTACATAAATAGATACCACATAATGTCCTTGTAAATGAACTTTCCATTCAACTATCAGGTAAAATAGTCTTTATATGGATGTATGGTGAATATTTGTTATGAAAAAACTATTAATCTATATGCAAGAAAGTAACCTGTGACCCAAATGTGTTCACATAGTGAAATGCTTAACAATTAAGATGTCAGAGAAAGGGTGCTGCTTATATTCTCTGAGCCTTGGTTCAGTATTATGGCTGATGCTAGATACTATTTGCTGAGAGACACGATTCTGCACTTCAGAACCATATGACTAGCAGTAGTTAGTATTTAAGCAAATCTCATTTTATTTAAAGTTCCTCTATACACCTTTGTACAGCATCTTTACAATAAAATAAAAACAAAAAATTTCCTGTATGCAAAGTATAATTAGCCACAAATGCTAAAGAAGTAAATATTCAAGTTTTAAATTTTATTTTGTCTAAATGAATGTTAGTAGTCAAAAGTTAATTTAATTTTAGTCTTTTTGCCTTATCATACTTGAGATTTCATGCTATGGATACTCCATAAACTGTATATATTTATTTACATAAGTACCAATGTGAATTTAAAGAGCTTAGAGCATTCCAAATATAAACAATGAAAGAAACCGCATGTAAATGAAGAAACAAAGAAAGACAGAAACTACTAAGTATTAATTTTCTTTTTACAAAAAATATGAAGAGTACAAATGTCAGAACCTTTTGGAATTTGCTTGTCTTATTTTGAGTGACACTTAGTTGTTCTTCAAGTATTTTGAACTTTTGATTCTAAACAAGCTTTGGGTTAATAACAAGATCACTAATTATTAAAAAAGAAAAAAAAGTACAGATTGTTCTCTTCTCAAATATTTCCCTAGTAACAGAACAATTGTTCTCTAAAAGCAGTTACAAAATGTATGTCATTAAAAACAGGTAATTGTACCATTATATAAAATGTTAAAGAAATATGTGCACTTATATGTTGTTATCTTTAGCTCAGAGGTTAAAGCAGCTAATTTAAATAAGAAAAACACATTTATTAACTTAGAAACATTATCACCAACGTAATCACCAGCCTAGTAGAATGTATGTAAATCAGTAAATTTGACTTGTGCTGTTGATTTACTATATATCTTTAATGTCTAATTTGTCAGTGAAATTTTCATATTCACATAGCTCTTTGAATTATATTTTAATTGGTGAAATGTCTGGTTTGGAATGGTGAAATAGAGACTTAATTTTTAAATTCCATATTTAAATGCTAAGTCATAATCTTTAAACTCTATCTTCTCTTGTCATTTAAAATAGAAATTAGAAATTAATATATAGTATCATTCTGTTGATAATGAAGGAATGCCTATAACCAAGGAATGTTGATTTAAGATACATACAATAAACCAATTTTGTAAAATATGTCATTTAATTACATTATTGCAAAAATTAGCACAATCTTGTCAAAAGCTGTGCAGCAATCAATGCTGTGTTAGCATGATTATTGTCCAAACTTCCTGAGGGACTCTGCCACTGAAACCCTTGGCTGACCCCATCAACAGGCAGGTGGCAGTTGATCAATTCAAAGCAAAGTTATTGGGAGAATATTTTCAATTACAATAGTATTGCTGCCTATATTGTAGACAGAAGAGAGCAGGGGTCATTAGTCATTCTGAATTTGCATGCCAAGTAGTATTTATTTCTTGTCCATAAAAGAATAGGAAAAGAAGTGTTACTGGCAAGTGCCCCAAAATCTCAGAGCAGTAAGTCCTCCTAGTTCTGGTACATGGAAGCCAGTTAGGAAAGTAGATAACCAGTGCTCCCTTACTTCTAAAAACTGGAGTTCTTACTAAAATTCATTTTGCAATGTAATCTGCCTCAGCTCATTTCAGAAGAAATTAGCACCAAGGATAGGAGCTAATATCTGAGATTTGAGGCAGACCCATATACTCTAAAGGTACTTACTACCTCTTGAACCTCCATCAAGACTAGGAAGGAAAGAAATTCGAAGAATTCTTTTGTTAGGAACAAAAGTATACTTCTATCAAATCCCATACCAAGATTTCCAGGACGCTTATTAAAACTTAAAATTCAATTGCCCAAATTATGCTTTTCTTAGGATAAAACTACTTTTCTCACAACCTTATTGTTGACCTTTTGTCTGATAATCATGGTGCTTATATGTATGTGTTTATAACATGTTTCTAACACTGTTCAGAAGAGGAGAATGTATAAATAATAAATAACCTTATTATTAGATTTATCATAACTAGTTTCTTTTTAATCCACTTTCAGCCATCTGTCAGCTATAAACTGGAATCTATATAAACTCAATGAAAGACTTTTTATTATTTGGAAGCTAAAAGAAATTGTTCTTTTGTATATTTATACCAGCACACTCTCCGTGAAGAAACAATGGTAGTGATGACTGAAGATATGCCTTTGGAAATTTCTTATGTGCCTTCTACTTATCTGACTGAGATCACTCATGTCTCACAAGCCCTATCAGAAGTAGAACAACTTCTCAGTGCTCCTGACCTCTGTGCTAAAGAGTTTGAAGACCTCTTTAAACAAGAGGAGTCTCTGAAGGTAAAAGAAAAGGCAATTTTATTTACATTATACAGGATGATTGCATTGATTCTTTGTTGTCTGAAAATGATTGGCTTGCATTCTATGCATAATGAAGACATTTTGTTGCACAAAATTCATAAAGCTGAAAAAGCAACTTCAGAAATCTGAGCTAGAAATACTTCCATAAATTTCAAGAGATAGTGTGTAATGCTTAATGTGAGGTGGACTTCCATGATAAAGAAATAGACTTAAAAATGTTCTCATGACCCCAGAACAGAAAGAAAGAGTTAAAAAAGGTAGTTACTCCTCCATCAATATATTTCTTTCTTCTCTTCAAGGATAGTCAATTAGACAGGATTTTAAATGATATCCATTGCATGTTGTTTTAGATTTATATTTCCCTTATATAATGTGCATTAATTTTAAAATTATTTTTACTCTTGTTATTACATGAAATAGTATGGAATAGAAATCAGTAAAATAAAATCAGTAGTACATTCTTGAGCACTCCAGAGGTTCAGACAGAAAGAGCACAAGTATAAGACCAAACTAGACTAGTCAGACCCTATCTAAAAATATAAACAGGTGCTTTAGTTCAAATGGTAATGTATTTGCTCACTGGTGAGAAAAAGGATTCAAGGATGTTAAATATATGTATGTATGTATCTATGTAGTTGCATATAGAGACAGTAAAATGAAACACAACAAAGACTGAAAAAAGGCAAACAAGAATAATTAAAACATAGTGAAAGATTAAATAAGGTCAAAGTTCATTGGGTATATATATGAAAATGTCACAGTGAATCCTCTTTATGATAAAATGTTCACTAATTCAAAAATAAAGCAAGAAGAACAAGAAATGAATACATATTCTCTTTAAAACTATCATCTACAGGGCTGGGAAGGTGGCTCAGTGGTAGCGTGCTTGCCTTGCATGCATGAGGCCCTGGTTTTGATTCCTCAGCACCACATAAGCATAAAGAAAAAAGCCGGAAGTGGCGCTGTGGCTCAAGTGGTAGAGCGCT